ATGTTGGTTGTTAATGGGCCTCTATTAGCATTTCAATGGCCACCTGGTGAGGTTGAATCTCTGAGGGAGGGGTCGCCTCTTCTCTCCAGGACCCTGGGAAGGAGCAAGCTGACCATAGTCCTGTGTGGCTGCAACTCAGCAAAAGCTCTGAGTGCCCTATAAATTCCTAGTGTTTCCACACAGTTCCAGTCCAGTGTGCCCTCCCTCTGCCAGAGACCAAGGTGAGTTGCTGCTGGTATTTTAGACTCTGTCCCAGGTCTGCACTGTGGAACCGCTTGGGAGTTTAACCCGAGGGCGCCGCTCCCAGTCAAGGCCGCCACCGCTCCCAGCCGAGGCCGCAGCCTCTCCCAGCTGAGGCCGCTGCCTCTCCCAGCTGAGGCTTCCGCTGCTCTCAGCCAAGGCCGCAGCTCCCAGCCGAGGCCTCTGCCACACCCCACTAAGGCCACAGCTCCCAGTTGAGGCCACCACCACTCCCACCCACAGCCACAGCTCCCAGCCAAGGCTGCCGCCACTCCCCTCTAAGGCCCCTTTTCCCAGCTGAGGCTGCAGCTCCAAGCCAGGTCCCTTGCCAACCGTAGCCTCCCAGCCACCTCTCGCGTCTCTGCAAGCCTACCAGGATTGAGTCAGCGTCCCTGGTTATGTGTTCCTCCAAGCTGCTTTTTGGTTGCCTTTTCCTGATGATTTGCCTTTATTTTCATTGTAATTCCAGTTTGGTCCTGGGAGATGGTCTGTGTAGCCTCCATTTACTCCACCACCATTTTTTCAGTCCCTAACGTCATTTATTGAAGAGACTGTCTTGACTACAATGTATGCTCTTGCCACCTTTGTCAAATATTAATTGAGTATATTGTCTTGGGTCAGTTTCTGGGTGTTCTATTCTGTTCCATTGATTTATCTGTCTGTTCCTGGGCCAGTACCAGGCTCTTTGACTACAGTGGGTTTGTAGTATAACCTGAAATGTAGTAATGTGATTCTTTCTACTTTGTTCTTCTTTTTGAAGATTGCTGTGGCTATTGAGGGTTTTTTTCTGGTTAAAAAATGGGCAGAGGATCTAAATAGATACCTCTTTAAAAATTATATACAGTTGGCCAAGAGACATATGAAAAAATGCTCAACATTACTAATCATCAGAGAGATGAAAATTAAAACAACTATGAGGTATCACCTCCCACCTGTCAAAATAACTGCCATTAACAAATCATAAACCAACAAGTTTTGGCAAGGGTGTGGAGAAAGGGGACTCTAGTACACTGCTGGTGGCATACTTGTACAGCCACTGTGGGAAAGGCTATGGTGTTACCTCAAAAAGTTAAAATTGAACTGCCATTTGACCCAGTGATCCCACTTCTGGGAATATACCCTAAGAAATCTTAAACACCAATCAGAAAGAATATATATACACCTATGTTTATAGCAACACTATTTACAATAGCTAAGATCTGGAAACAACCCAACTGTCCATCAGTAGATGAGTTGATTAAAAAGCTGTGGTACATGTACACAACTGAATACTATACAGCTGTAAGAAGAAAAGATCTCTTATCCTTTGAGATAGCACAGAAAGACCTGGACAGTATTATGCTAAACAAACCAAGCCACGCAGAGAAAGACAAATATCCCATGATCTCACTGATTTGTGAAATATAACAAACTAAACAAACTGCTGAACAAAATTAACCCAGAGACATAGTGGTAGGGTACAGACTGAGGAGTCTCAGAAGAGGGGGGTTTGTAGGGGAAGAGATAAACCACAGAACTCACATGCACATATGCTTGACCAATGAACATAGACAACAAAGCTGGGGATGGGGTGGGAGGAAAGGGGAGGAGGGTGTCAATAAGAGAGAAATGAGAAACATCTGTAATAAAAACAAATTAAGAAATAAAAACTTAAAATTAAAAAAATAAAAACACAATCCTGTAGGGAAGGTCATAGCACTTCAAACCTACCTATGTAAAAAATAAAAATTTCTAATTGACTTTCTAACCATACAACTTAAAAAACTAAAAAGGAAAAAAAAAAAAAAAAAAAGGAGTACCAGAGGAAGTGGAAGAAAAGAAATAGTAAAAGTCAGAGTAGAAATAAATGACATAGATACTAAGAAAAAAGTTCAAAAAATCAATGAAACAAAATGGTGGTTCTTTGAAAAAAATAACCAAGATTGATGGACCTTTAGCCAGAATCACCAAGAAACAAAAAGAGAAGACCCAAATAAACAGAATCAGAAACAAAGGACAAGTAACATCTGACAACAGAAAAATATAAAGGATCATCAAAACTTACGATGAACAATTACATGCCAACAAATTGGACAATCTAGGTGAAATGAACAAATTTGTAGAAACACACAGTGTTCCAAAACTGAACAGAGAAGAGAGAAAAGTTGAACAAACCATTTACAACAAAGGAAATTTAAGATGTATTCAAGACTATCCCAGCAAACAAAAGCCCAACCCTGGACGGCTTCACAAGGCAATTTTACCAAACATTCAAAGAAGAACTAATAACAATTCTCCTGAAACTATTTCAAAAAATTCAAGAAGGAAGACTTCAAACCTCATTTTATAAGACCAGCATAATTCTAATTCCAAAACCAGATAAAGACACTACGAAGAAAGAAAACTACAGGCGAATATCACTGATGAACACAGATGCCAAAATTCTTTACAAAATATTAGCAACTTGGATCCAGCAATACATCAAAAATATTTTTTACCATGACCAATTGGGATTTATTCCTGGGATGTGAGGCTAGTACAATATTTTCAAATCAATAAATGTGATACACCATATATACAAAATATAAGATGAAAACCATGATCTTAATAATAGATGCTGAAAAAGCATTCAGCAAAATCCAGCAACCATTTCTGGTAAAAACATTCAGCATTGTGGGAATAGAGGGATCATATCTCAACATAATAAAGGCCATATATAAAAAACCTACAGGCAACCTCATACTAAATGGCTAAAAGAATTTCCCTTAAAAACAGGAACAAGACACAGATGCCCACTTTCACCACTCTCATTTAACATAGTACTGGAAGTCTTAGCCACAGGATTTAGACATGAAGATAAAATAAAAAGGGTCCAAATTGGAAAGGAGGAAGTAAAAGGTCATTATTTGCAAATGACATGATATTGTACATAGAAAACCATAAAGACTACATCAAAAATACACTAGACTTCATAAATAAATTTGGCAAAGTAGCAGAATAAAAATTAGCGTCAAGAAATTGATGACATTCTTTATACACCAATGATGAACTCATTGTAAGTAAAACTAAAAAAAAAAAAAAAAATCCTATTTACCATCATGGCAAAAAAATTAAGATACCTAGGAATAAACTTAACCAAAAACGTAAAAGACCTTTTCACAGAAAACTACAGGTTATTAAAAAAAGAAACAGAGGAAGATATAAAATAGTGGAAGCATATACCATGTTCAAAGATTGGATGAATTAACATCATTAAAATGTCAATACTACCGAAAGCAATCTATATGTTCAATGCAATCCCTATCAAAAGATATACTTCACAAAACTAGAACAAATACTCTAAAATTTTATATAGAATAAAAAGACCTGAATAGCCAAAGCAATCTTTAAAAAAAGAACAAAGTAGGACAGATCACAATACCAAATACCTCTTTTTTTTTTTTTATCCTCACCCAAGGACATTTTCCCGTTTTTTTGTTCAGGTAGAGTGGGAGAGAGAGAGAGGAACAGAGAGAGAGAGAGAAACATCGATGTGAAAGGAACACATCTAGTGGCTGCCACCCGCACGACCAACCAGGGCCGGGGACAAACTGCAACCGAGGTACGCACCCTTAGCGGGAACCGAACCCGGGTCTCTCAGAACCGCAGGCCGACGCTCTAACCGCTGAGCCAAACCGGCCAGGGCCCAAATACCTCTTTACACTACGAACCCACTCCAATCACTACAATCTGGTACTGGAATGGAAACAGGCATATAGATCAATGGAACAAAACAGATAACCGAGAAACTGACCCAAGACAATATGCAAATTAATATTTGACAAAGGTGGCAAAAGTATGCTGTGAAGTCAAGACAGCCCATTTAATAAATGGTGGTGAAAAAATTGGACAGCTACATGCAAAAAAAATGAAGCTAGACTAATTTACACCTTACACAAGAATAAACTCAAAATGAATAAAAGACTTAAATGTGACTCATGAATCCATAAAAATTCTAGACGAAAATGTAGGCAGCAAAATTTCAGACATTATACACAGCAGAATTTTTACTGATACAACACCTGAGGCAACAGAAGCAAAGGAAAAAATGAACACATGGGACTATATCAAACTAAAAAGCTTCTGCACAGCAAAAGAAACAATCATCAAAATGGAAAGAAAACTCACTATATAGGAGATCATAAGTGCCATTGATACATTAGTTAAGGGGTTAATTTCCAGAATGTATGGAGTACTCATGCAACTCAACAAAATGAAGACAAGGAACCCACTTATAAAATGGGCAGAGGACCTAAAGAGACACCTCTCCAAACAGGACATAAAAATGGCCAAGAGACATATAAAAAAATGCTCAAAGCCCCTAATCATCAGAGAGATACAAATTAAAACAACAAGGTGGTATCACCTCACCTGTCAGAATGGCCACCATCAAAAAATTATCAAACAGCAAGTGCTGATGAGGGTGTGGAGAAAAGGGGACTCTAGTACACTGCTGGTGGGAATGCAGACTGGTGCAGCCACTATGGAAAACACTATGGAGTTACCTCAAAAATTAAAAATTGAACTACCATTTGACCTAGTCTTGCCACTTCTAGGAATATACCCTAGGAAGCCTGAAACACGAATCAGAAAGAATATATGTAATCCTATGTTTATAACAACACTGTGTATAATAACTAAGATCTGAAAACAGCCCAAGTGTCCATCAGTAGATGAGTGTATAAAAAACCTGTGGTAGAAGCCTCTGCTGTGCAGAGACCCCAGGTGAAACCATCATCACCATGTCTGACCAGGAGCCAAAACCTTCAACTGAGGACTTGGGGGATAAAAAGGAAGGAGAATACATTAAACTCAAGGTCATTGGACAGGATAGCAGTGAGATTCACTTCAAAGTAAAAATGACAACACATCTCAAGAAACTCAAAGAATCATACTGTCAAAGACAGGGAGTTCCAATGAATTTACTCAGGTTTCTCTTTGAAGGTCAGAGAATTGCTGATAATCACACTCCAAAAGAACTGGGACTGGAAGAAGAAGGTGTGATTGAAGTTTATCAGGAACAAATGGGGGGTCATTCAACAGTTTAGATATTCTTTTTCTTTTCTTTTTCTCAATCCTTTTGTATTTTTAAAAATAGTTCTTTTGTAATGTGGTGTTCAAAATGGAAGTGAAAATTGACCCTTTATTTCTTTAAAACATCTGGTAATGTCAATTCTAGTGCCCATTATTCATTATTGTTTGTTTTTATTGTGCTGATTTTTGGTGATCAAACCTAAGCCCCTTTCACATTGCCCTCTCTTTTTAAATATTACATGTGTGCACAGGAAGGCCTCCTTTTTTAGGACTGTGCATTTTCAGGCTTGTAATAAATAAAGTTGACCATTGCAGGTGTTCATAATGACTTCTAATTGTCCCTGAAGTTCTAGCATGTGATTGCTTCACTCCTGGACTGTGACTTTCAGTGGGAGATGGAAGTTTTTCAGAGAACTGAACTGTGGAAAAGTGACCTTTCCTCAACTTGAAGCTACTTTTAAAATCTGAAAGTCTGGACCAAAAGAAGAGAAAAATCAGGTTGGAGTCAAGATGACAGATAAGATGAGAGTAAAGACTAACTCCAAAGATGGCTTCACTGAAGAGAAAGTATTTTAAGAGTAAAAAAAAAAAAAAATCTTGTCAGAAGATCCCAGAAAAGTTTCATTAGCAGTTAATAAAGTTATTAATACATAAGGGTGTACAACAGAGCACTGCCCTTTTGATTTTATTTGTACTTTTTGGCCTGAGATATGGGTTTTAAATGGACATTTTCTGTACCAGTTTCATCAAAATAAACAAAATATTTGTAAAAAAAAAATTATAAACGAAAAACCTGTGGTATATTTACACGATAGAGTACTATGGAGCTATAAGAAAGAAAAACCTTTTAGCCTTTGAGACAACATGGAGGAACCTGGAGAGTATTATGCTAAATGAAACAAGCCAAGCAGAGAAAGACAAATATCACATGATCTCATTTATTTGTCCAATATAATGAACAAAATAGATCCAGAGACATAGAAGTAGGGTAGAGACTGACAACCCTCAGAAGAGGGAGTGGTGGGGAGGGAAGAGATAAACCACAGAACTCATATGCATGTATGCATAAGTGATGGACATGGACAACAAACCTGGGGGTGAGGAGGTAGAGATGGGTGTTTTGAGGGAAAAAGGAGAAACGTGTAACAAAAATAAATTAATAAAAATAATTTTTACAAAATGAAATGGCTGGAACTTTAAGAGACATAATTGGAGTAAAAGGACATTTAAGGTGGGAGGACAAACATAGAGGCACTGCAGTATAGTGCAGTAAATTTTGAAGAATGGGTTGAAATGTTTTGGCATGGCTAGATTGTAGGGACCCTCAGACAGAAACAAGGGAGGAAACTTAGCTGGACACAGTAATAATACACAGTAGCATAAAGATATATTGAATATTTTTTCTGTTTTTAATAGGAAATGTTTATATATATAAACTGACCAGGGCGAAAATGTTAAAGATTTTTGAGCTTAGCCCTGGCCGGTTTTGGCTCAGCAGTTAGAGCATTGGCCTATGGTCCAGAGAGACCTGGGTTTGGTTCCTGCTAAGGGCGCATACCTTGGATGAAGTTTGTCCCCAACCCTGGTTGTGTTGTGCAGGTGGCAGCCATTCGATGTGTCCCTTTTACGTCGATGTTTCTCTCTCTCTCTCTCTCTCTCTCTCTCTCTCTCTCCCTCCCATTCTATCTGAACAACAACAACAATAACAAAAAAAAATGTCCTCGGGTGAGAATTAAAAAAAAAAGGTTTTTGAAATTATAATTGACATGATTGTATCTGTGCTTTTTCTTATTTATTATCTGTTACTCACCACTAAATTGAGAAATCCAAAAGAGCAGAATTTTTTTCTTCTGTTTAGTTTACTACTGTGCTCTAAGTGACCCAAATAGTACATAGAACATAATTAGGGCTGCTGTCTACAGCCTCAAGGTTTATAACTTGCATTATTTTTTAATATATTTTTATTGATTTTTTTCTCAATTTTTATTAATTTATTTTAGTTACAGATGTATCCTCTTATTCCCCTTTAGACACAGTCCTCCCAATCCCTCCCCTCCACCATTTCAACTTTGTTGCCTATGTCCACTGGTTATGCATACATGCATATAAGTTCTTTGGTTCATCTCATCCATCTCACCCACATCCTTCCTCTGAGGAGTGTCAGTCTGACGCATACTCCTTTCTATGTCTCTGAGTGTATTTTGTTCCTCAGCTTATTTTATTCATTATAGTCCACAAATAGGTGAGATCATGTGATATTTGTCTTTCTCTGATTGGCTTGTTTTGCTTAGCATGATAGTCTCCAGGTTACTTCATGTCTTCTCAAAGAATAAAAGATCGTTCTTTCTTACAGCTGCATAGTATTTCATTGTGTACATGTACCACAGCTTTTTTTATCCACTCATCAACTGATAGACATTTGGGCTATTTCCAGATCTTAGCGACTGTAAATAGCACTGCTATGAAAATGGGGGTACATATATTCTTTCTGATTAGTGTTTCAGGTTTCTTAGGGTGTATTCCTAGAAGTGGGATTACAGGGTCAAATAGAAGTTCAATTTTTAGTTTTTTGAAGTAACACCATATTGTTTTCCATAGTGGCTGCACCAGTCTGCATTCCCACCAGCTGTGAACTAGAGTCTCTTTTTCTCCACACCCTCGCCAACACTTGTTCTTTGATGATTTGTTGATGGCAGCCACTCTGACAGGTGTGAGGTGATACCTAATAGTTGTTTTAATTTGCATCTCTCTAATGATTAGTGATGTTGAGAATTTTTTCATATGTCACTTAGCCATCTGTTTGTCCTGGTTAGAGAGGTGTCTATTTAGTTCCTCTTCCCATTTTGTAATTGGGTTATTTGTCTTCCTTTTGTTAAGTAGTATGAGCACTCTACATATATTGGAAATTAACCCCTTATCTGATATGTCATTGACAATTATGCTCTCCCATACAGTGGGTAGTCTTTCCATTTTGATGATTGTATCTTTTGGTATGCAGAAGCATTTGAATTTGATGTAGTCCCACGTGTTCATCTTCTCCTTTGTTTCTGTTGCCTTAGGTGATGTATCAGTGAAAATTCTGCTGCATATGATTTCTGAAATTTTGTTGCCTACATTTTCTTCTAGGATTTTTATGGATTCATGAATCACATTTAAGTCTTTTATCCATTTGGAGTTTATTCTTGTGTGTGGTGTAAGTTGATGATCTAATTTTATTTTTTTGCATGTAGCTGTCCAATTTTACCAACACCACTTATTAAAGAGGCTGTCTTTACTCCAGTGTATGCTCTTGCCACCTTTGTCAAATATTAATTGAGCATATTGCCTTGGGTCCATTTCTGGGTTCTAGGTTCTGATCCACAGGTCTATATGCCTGTTCTTGTGCCAGTACCAGGCTGTTTTGATTACAGTGACTTTGTAGTACAACCTGAAATCTGATAATGTAATCCCTCCTACGTTTTTCTTCTTTTTCAACATTGGTGTGGCTATTCAAGTATTTGTATGGTTGTTTGTTTCCATATGAACTTTTGAAGTATTTGCTCTAGTTCTGTGAATTATGTTGTTGGTATTTTGATGGGGATTGCATTGAATCTATAGATTGCTTTGGGTAGTATGGACAGTTTAATGATGTTAATTCTTCCAATCTAAGAACAAGGTATGTGCTTCCATTTTTATATCTTCCTCTATTTTTTTTTTCAATGACCTATAGTGTTCTGCAAATAAGTCCTTTAGTTCTTTGGTTAAGTTTCTTCCTACATATCTTAATTTTTTGCTGCAATGGTAAATGGGATTGTTTTCTTAATTTCTTGTTCTTTGAGTTCGTCATTGGTGTATAAGAATGCCATCAATCTTTTGATATTAATTTTGTATCCTGCTACTTTTCAAATTCATTTATTAAGTCTAGTAAATTTTTTATGGAGTCTTTGAGGTGTTCTACGTATAGTATCATGTCATCTGTGAATAATGACAGTTTCACTTCCTCCTTTCCAATTTGGATCCCTTTTATTTTTTCTTCCTGTCTGATTGCTGTGGCTAAGACTTCTAGTACTATGTTAAATAAGAGTGGCAAAAGTGGACATCCCTGTCTTTTTCCTGTTCTTAAAGGAAATTTTTTCAATTTTTGCCCGTTGAGTATGATGTTGGCTGTAGGTCTTTTTATATATGGCCCTTATTATGTTGAGATATGATCACTCTATTCCCAGATTGCTGAGCATTTTTATCAGAAATGAATAATGGATTTTCTTGAAGGCTTTTTTAGTATCTATTGTATCATTAGGTGATTTTTATTCTTAATTTTATTTATGTGGTGTATTACATTTATTGATTTGTGAATATTGTAAGAGCCTTGCATCCCTAGGATGAATCCCACTTGGTTATGGTGAATACATTTTTTGATGTATTGCTGGAGCTGATTTGCTAGTATTTTGTTCAGGATTTTGGCGTGTATATTTATCAGGGATATTGGCCTGTAGTTTTCTTTTATTGTAATGTCTTTTTCTGGTTTTGGAATGAGAATTATGCAGGCTTCATAAAACGAGTTAGGAAGTCTTCCTTCTTCTTGAATTTTTTGAAATAGTTTGCAGAGAATGGGTGTTAGTACTTTTTTGAATGTTCAGGAAAACTCCCCTGTATAGCCATCTAGGCCTGGGCTTTTATTTGCTGGGAGAGTCTTGATTACATCTTTAATTTCTTTTGTTGTTATTGGCCTGTTCAAGTTTTCTATCTCGTTTTGGGAGACTGTGTGTTTCTAGAAATTTGGCTATTTTGCTCATACTGTCGAATTTGTTGCCATATAATTGCTCATAGTACCAGTTAATGATCTTTTGTATTTCTGTGGTGTCAGTTGTTACTTCTCTTCTTTCATTTCTAATTGTGTGTATTTGGTTTCTCTCTCTTTGTTTCATGGTGAGTCTAGCTAGCTAAGGGTCCATCGATCTTATTTATCTTTTCAAAAAACCAGCTTTTTTTTTCATTGATCCTTTAAATTGTTGTTTTGTTTTGTTTTGTTTGTTTG